GTAGCTTCTGGTTACTGAGTTCTTTCTTGTTTAGGGCGGGGGGAGCTTCCGTGAAGAAGTGTGAGCTATCCTGCGTCCAAGGTAGTAGCTTACTTGTAGCTCCTAGCTACCTAGCTACTAGCTACCTATACCTCTAGCTAGGAGGTAGGTAGGCTACCGGCCTACCCCTCCAAAAAAGAAGCTTGTTACTCGTTTCTTTGAGAAAGAAATCCTTTTTTCCACACCTTCTAGGAGATACGAAACCTCTTGGCCTTGCATCGCTATCCACGTCGAATATCGTATGCTTTGCTGTCTGTGCCTTCTTTCCGAAGCCTGCGATGTGGATTTCAAAGACTAGAAGTCGGTGGCTTAACTAGAGCTGTGCATCAAAATGCCCGATCTCTGGTAATGACCCAGTGACTCTTGCTTCACGTGCTGTCATCTTATCAACAAACCATCAACACTGAAGTCTCAGGGAAAAATGGGCAAAATGAGTGCTCACAAAGCATCCGTGCTTTGTCCGGTGGTGCCTTTTCCGTCTTTTCCAAACTTTCCACCCTTGGCTGCCGGTTTGGCTGTTCTGCGGAAATTGCACCCATCTTACTGTGGGATCTAGATATACTGTATGGTAGTACGCCTTGCAAGTGCATCGTCACTACCTAGTAGTCTCAGGCTACCAACAAGCAACTCGCGTGGTTGCTCTGATTGTTCCACCACTTCTCAACTCTTCAAACTCTAAGCACATCCTCCAAGATCCCATAAGCTGAGCTTTCTTATGGGCATCCAATGCGTTCTTGTAACTGGTCTATAAGAAGGAAAAGAACGATATCTAAATAAACATATGTATATAATTGTATATATATATGCACTTTATTTTACATAGTACGCAAGAATTCTTGTTGCTAGCACGAGGTGGTCAAGTCCAAGACTGAATGCCATACTCAGTGTCCAACGCCTTTTCCGCCGCGGTCTCTCTCATACTTTCCTTTTCCCTGCCAGTCTGGCTTCTGTGTCACTCGAGTCACTCCCTACTCCCTTCCTTTTCAATTGTGGCCCTTCACACCCTTCACCCTTGGCCTTAGCCTGGAATAAGCACAAAACAACAACGGAACACCTTCATCCAGCAATTCCAACCAGCTAGACAAAACAAGTGTATTCGCATTGAGCAACAAGGCTTTTGACCAACAAGACCCTGCCATCGGACCCACATGTTTCCACCAGACTCAGCGCCTTTGTTTTTCCGCCATCCTTTCCGTAACCATCTTTGCCATAGCCACCTCCGCCTTGGAAGGAAAACCCTGCGGGGGGCCTCTGGGTGTAACACTGGGGGGAGATTCGGCAGAAACAAAATGAAAAGAGTTCATTTGAAAAATATCCTTCAGTAGGTAGTACTGACTCCAAAAATACCGCAACACCACAGGTTACACTACTAGGAAAATTGTAGTGACATTAGCAGTAGCAGTAGTAGTAGTAGTAGTAGCAGCACCAGCAGTAGTAGTAGTAGTAGTAAGATTAAGGTAGCGCTCAGACCTTGGTCAAGGTGACTTCCAAGACCTGCGGCCCCTGGGACTACCCTCAGGTTGGACGACGTCTCAGTGCCATGCGTTGCTGGTACCCTCCATAGCCTAGGCAAGGCGCTAGTAGCGTCCTTGTTACTACTAGTAAGGCACTTGTTACTAGAAGCGATGCACTTGTTCCTAATAGCTTCTTGTTACTACTAGTAAGGCACTTGTTACTAGTAGCGTGGCACTTGTTCTCAATAGCTTCTTGTACGGGAGCCAAAAAAAGCAAAGCCCATGGTTGCCCCAGTGTAGGGGCAGGAAAAACACTTGACCATTGCATTCTACCAATCCTATTCTACTTCGGATTCTAATTCTAATTCCAATTCTTGTTTCTATTAGCTTCTTGTTCCTAGTGCTGTAGTAAAGCCAGGAGCCCCTAGTAGCGTCCTTGCTCCCAGTAGCGATGCCCTTTGCTCCTACGGTTACTACAATAAAATATGCTGACTTTCAAATAGCCGAACAGGTATTTTAGTGTAGCTCCGTGAAGGATCTGCTGGGGCCGCCCAGCCATTAAAACATGCGGAAAAGACATGCGGAAAAGCACTTTTTTCCTAAGTCATTTCACAAACTGGCCTTCACCGGTCCTACGTGGAGGCCTTGGCCGGTCCTACGTCAAGGCCTTCACCGGCTCTACGTGGAGGCCTTCACCGATCCTACGTGGAGGCCTTGGCCGGTCCTACGTGGAGGCCTTCGCCGGCCCTACGTGGAGGCCTTCACCAGTCCTACGCGGAATTCACCGGCCCTACGTGGAGGCCTGGCTGTTGGCGGTCCTACGTGGAGGCCTTGGCCAGCCTGTACCGGTCCTACGTGCCTTGGCTGGTCCTACGTGGAGGCCGAGGCCTTGGCCGGTTCTACGTGGTCCTGCATGGAGGCATTGGAGCCCCTCACCTGGCCCTACATAGAGGCCTTCACCGGTCCTACGTGGAGGCCTTCACCAGTCCTACTTGGAAGCCTACGTGGAGGCCTTGGGAGGCCTTGGCCGGTCCCACGTGGAGGCCTTACCCCATGACGTGAGGCCAGCCAAGGCCCCCGCATAAGGCCCGGGAATCCTGCTATGTAGTGTTGATTGTTGTGAGTGATGAAGGAACTGCACATTAAAATATGCGGAGCCGCCCGTCGCCCCCAAACATACGAACAAAATAGGAATTATACACTACCTCGTAGTAGCGATGCCGTTGTTCCTCTACCTTCAGTTGTCAACAGCTTCACCTGGAAGGTCTCGCCACAGTTCGATGAAAGTTCCCAAAAGATCTCGTCACTGCCAGGCAGCCTCGATTGCCATAATCGCCATAGCTGCCACGGTAGCCGCCGTCATAGCTGCTGTAGCCATCGCCATAGCCGGTACCTCCGTAGCCTGCAAGAGACTTTGATAGCTTCTTGTTACTAGTAGTAAGAATGCTACTAGTAGCCATGCCAGGAGCCCCTAGTAGTAGCGTCCTTGCTCCTAGTAGTAGGGCCAGGAGCCCCTAGTAGCTTCTTGTTGACTTTGCGTTTTTGGGACCTTCAGGCCTTTTGTTTCTCCTCTTTCTTCTTAGCTTGATGGCTTTGGATTTTGCTATATAAGTGAAATATGTGAGGTTGGCCTGACCCAAACATTAGGGCTAAACTGGATGGAACAGCTGTCTCAAAATGTGCAGAGACGTCTCAGTCTCACCTGCTGACTGGCCCTTCTCATAGCCGGAGTTCCAACCTCAGAAATCAAAGCCATGACATGCCATGACTGCACAAAGAAGATTGCGGGGGCAAATGCGAATGAAAACCAGCGATGATGAAAAGACCGGCGGTCTTCTTATGATAACCAATCATGTCAACTTCGCAAGAACGAATCCTTCACCCGATTTGGGCTACCGGCCTTTTCCCGTGGGCTTGGTAGGCTGGGCCTCGTCTGTTCGCCGGAAGCAGCATGCTTCTAGCTCTATGCGGAAACATGAAGCAGAAATAAGTAATTCTCGTTCAAGAGGTATCTGCCGTTTGGTTTCTTGTTCTAGATTCTAAAACATCTGTGTAGATTCTTCGTGCAAGGTTTTGAGAATATCTTTTGAACTACAGTAAGTGTACGTGTATTGTATCTGAACAGACCCGTGTTTGAAGCAATGTGTTCATAGGTCCACGAAGCTGGCTTTAAGGTGGTTCTGCTAGTCTTCTGGCGAGCGGAGATGTTTCCATCACAAACCTCCTGGACATCGCGCCCCAACAAAGTGACTATGCACATTCTGCACACATTCTGCACACATCTAGGAACAAGAAGCTACTAGGGGCTCCTGGCCTTACTACTACGAGTAGGAGGAAAGGATGCTACTAGGAGCAACAAGAGATTCACTGGGTTGAAAACAAAGTTTGTAGACTGGTCCAACTCTGAGGCTCGAAACCCAGGTCGGAGCTGGGGTCCAGTCACTCCTGCCACCCTTCTCCCAACCTCGACACAAAGATGAAAACAGCCATATGTTGCAGGCTGTTGTCGTCAATCCCAGACTGAACTCTTCAAAAACTTGTCGATCTTCTAGTGGATGGCACCAAAGGCTATTGCCAGTTTTCGGCCGCATTTTGCCAAATTTCAGCTATCTAGCCAGTGCTCCAGAATCATTTCTGGCAGTCATCTTCCTAAGTTGAAAGGAGAGCCAGCAATCAATATTGTTCCGGCCGCCCGAACATGGAGACCTTTTGCACGCAATTCTGCAGACTGCAAACATATTTGTCGAGGGATAACAGTTGCCAAGAGTTAACAACTTTGGCACCTTCCAGTGCTTCTCAGCATGACGCTGCAAGTGTTCATGTTTGCTCGCTTTGGGTGAAATCAAGCCGATGACAATCACATGGCCGCCATGGCCAACCGATGGCCTGTATTCCAGGATGGCAATGCCGAGGCTCCAGATGACTTGCCGCCCCCTCAAAGAACGACAACTAGCAACTCAGTCGTTCTGACAGCATGACTTGATGAAGTCAAAAAGTATCTCACTAATATATGTAAAAATATAACATATATATATATTATATATATATATTATGTATCAAAGATTTTTGTCCGAAGAGAAAGCTATTGGAAGCATTCGGGAAGAAAGCTGAATGCTTCTCCTTCACTCCCATTCGCTTTCTTTCACTCTCTTTCACTCCCTTCGCTCCAGTCCGCTCTTGAGGCTCTTGCATTGCGGAGCCGGAGGGTATTGTGGGGCAGGTGGACTGCCCTTCCTGGCCGAGACCAAACAAATCTTGTCGCAAAGCGTGTCGCAATGTGTCGCAAAGCTAGAAGAATGCAAAACAAAGCAAAGAAGCAAAGCGTGTGACTTTGTCAAAGCATAAAGTATTCCAAAGCTCGGAACGTTGCACTAATGTGACTGGTTTGATCTACGTGGAATCACAGCTACGATTCAAACATTCAATGACCACGGTTTTGTGTTTTACGCCGTGGGCGAGCAGCAAGGCCGGTATTTGGGCAGCGGTCGTGGTCCACGGCGGGTGGGGTCACGCTGGCCGCTGGCGAATTCCTCTGCCGTCCAACCGAGCTCGGCCAACTTCACCTCGTGATCCTCCTGCGGTCAAACACCAAGGAACAACGGCATCGCTACTAGTAACAAAGGGCATCGCTACTAGGAACAAGGACGCTACTGGGGCTCCTGGCCTTGATAGGAACAAGAACGCTACTAGGTTGTTCATGGCCGGCCTTGCTGTGTCTAACTGTGCCCCTTCTCATGCCTGGAACAATCTATACAAAGACCTGGGTGTTCTTCTTCGAAAGGTCTTTGATAGCTAGTTTTCGGGCAGGTCTTGGGAGTGACGACACAAAGCAAGTCGGCTGAGGAGAAGGAAAACACGACGAAACTAGGAGAGAATAGGTGGACCATAGAGCATTGCTTCTAGGAGCAAGAAGCTACTAGGGGCTCCTGTCCATACTACTAGGAGCAAGGATGCTACTAGTAACATCTAGGAACAATCAAGCTACTAGGAGCAAAGGGCATCGCTACTAAGAAAAAGAAGCTACTAGGCTTGACCATGGTGGACCACATCGACACGGTGGTGCACAGTGGCACGTCTAATGACACGTCTAATGATGACACGTCTAATGATACCTCATGAAGTCGATTCAACTCGACATCGCCTCTGGAACACGGTGGCGGGCTTTCCACTTGTTGAGAAGCTCAACCTGCAAAATCCCGACATGGATGGCCTACAAGTGGTTAGACAACACACTTGAGATATTGTGTACGGAACTGAATGCGGTGCCACACGCCGGCCTAGGGTTCCATTTCCTAAGAGTACCAGTAAGGACCATCGGAGCCTGGAGGTCTTAAAAGGAAAAGAGGCCAAAGTCTCAAGGCGACGACGAAGCGACAGAGTGACGACGGTCGTACTTGTCTGCCGAGTGAGGTTCTTGGCTTAGCCTCATGCCATGCAGAAAGGAAGGAAAATTCGCAGGTACGTCCAGCTGGCCAAGCTGGATATCCCATTTCACTGGTAGCTTCGTTGGACACAGTCCCAGTGAAATGCTGTGTCCCCCTGCAGTAAAACAAATGCAAAAGCATCCCTATGACTCCAAGGGTGGCACACACACACACACACGGTCACATGGACAATTAAAAGATCGCAGGATACTTCAAACCCTTTTATGCTCATGCAGTCAGCCCAAATGCTCAGCAACTAAAGCGTCAAACTGAGGAAATATGTTCTAACAGGGATCTTGACAAAGAACCTGGTAGCCAAAACTTTGTTTGGCTAAAGACTAAAGTGTTTTCAATTCGTTTTTCTGTGCTGTGCTGCTGTGCCTCCTTGGCATCTACCTCCGTCCGCCACAGCCAACTCCAACATAGCGCTGTAGGTGTTCCGTCGGTGCTCGTGGTGACTTCCCCGGAGCTTTCCCCACAAATCCGAGATCTCCGCACGGGTGGCCGCCTAGAAGTGAAAGTCACATGGAAGAGTGGCGCTTGTTGGGTACTACTAGTAGCTTGTTACTAGTAGCGATGCACTTGCTGGTCTTATTGTTGTACTACTTCCTGCTTGTTGATTTTGTTGACTTCTTGTACTTGTCTTATTGTTGTACCGTGAGCTCACGGTAGCTCTAAGAGACAAGCAGTCAGAATTCTCGCCAGATTCTCGCACCAAAGAAACAATTCAAGAGCCTCTTTCCTCAAGATTGCTTCTTCTATCTTTTTTCTCTTTCTCTTTGCTTCTTTCGTTTGTCCCTAAGGCCCTTCGGTTTCTTCCTTCTGTCCTTCCGCGTTCTCTTTCGGCCTCAGCGAGGCCTGCCTCCCGGATCGCTCGATGCAGCGAGTCGATCTCCAGCGTCAGGAGCCGACAACGTGGGGCGATGCATTTGAACGACACCTCCACATGGAGCGATGCCCTAGTAAGGCCAGGAGCCCCTGGTAGCATCCTTGCTCCTAGTGGCGATGCCCTTGCTACTAGTAGCCTCTTGATACTAGGTGCTATAAATAAAACATGTGCAAAATTGTAGATTTCAAGATTGAAGAAGAATGGAAGAAGGACAGAGAATCTAGTTGAGCAACAACAAGACAACCCTTGAACAGGCAGATTTCCGAGAAATGTGTCACTGTGAGCACTGATGAGCACTGATGAGCACTGATGAGCACTGAGTTTTGTCCAGCCCTGCTTGGTGGAAGTGCGGGGTCGCCCAGTGGTCTTCGGGCTCAGCAGGGTCGAAGAACTCTCCGAGCCAGCTGCCCTTGCCCGGCACGATATTCACCACCTTGTCCTGGGACGGAGTTCAATGGGTGGTTTGCGGGCATCAACGTGCTTGTCGACGGTTCCGTGACCGTTCACAGTCAGTGTCTTTGAACCGATCTTGACTGTGAACTTCTTGCGATCGATTCGGAACTCGCCAAGATCTTCGCCAAGAGTCGCAAAGACTTGAAAACATGACTTTTCAAGAAATAGTAACAAGAAGCTACTAGGAACAAGTGCATCGCTACCAGTAACAAGTGCCTTACTAGTAGTAACAAGAAGCTATTAGAAACAATAAACAAAACGGAACAAGCAAAGCGCCAATACTCGACATCGTAACCCACCCGTACCTCACCTCAGAACCGTCAATCAGCATGACCTTCCCATCCAAGAGGTAGTGAACCCACTTCTTGGGTTCTCCTGGTAGGCAGCTAGACATGTCTTTTTAAAGGCCCGTGGCCTCCTTAAATAAGTAGGCGTCGACTTAAATTAGGAAGCCAAGCTAATAGGAAGCCACTAGGAACAATGAAGCTACTAGGGGCTCCTGGCATCGCTACTAGGAGCAAGGACGCTACTAGGGGCTCCTGGCCTTACTACTAGGAGCAAGCGACGCTACTAGGAACAGGACGGAAAGCTCACACTTTTTCGAAGCTTCCCCGCTTGAGGCCTGGGGGAGCTTCGAAGAAGTGCTCGCACTATTCATTTGGTTCCTAGATGTTTAGGGAAACCTACTTATACTCCCCGTGAATTGAAAGGACGGAACCTGCACTTCACGGATGACTGACATCTGCATGTTCCAAAGATTTTGACACTTTCAGAAGGATTGAAAGCAAAGAAAACTAAGGGCAACGCTACTAGTAGCAAGGACGCTCTAGGGACTCCTGGCCTTACTACTAGGAGCAAGAAGCTACTAGTAACAAGTGCATCGCTACTAGTAGCTAGGATTCTTCCCCTTTTCCTTTTCCGTCCTTTTCGGCTTTTCCCGCCTTTGCGGCAAATGAACGTGCCACAGCGAGCCTCCTCAATTCGGCCATGTGCCGCCTCAAACAGCTTCAGGAATTGCCGAGGTGTAAAGCCATGGCCCATGAAGGCCATTTCGTATGCGGCCTTGACACAAAACGCAAAAAAAGAAAGTCATCTCTTTGTTGCTTTTGCAGGAAGCTGCTATGTGCTGATTGGATGCAAAGAGGCTCGGGTTTGCATGGTCGATGTTTATATAACTTTGTAAGTTAAAAGTGTTGCGAAGAGTTTTCTCGTTTGTTCCTAGTAGCGTCCTTGCTCCTAGTAGTACGGCCAGGAGCCCCTAGTAGCGTCCTTGCTCCTAGTAGCGATGCCCTTTGTTCCTAGTAGTTTGTTGTTCGATCAATGACAAATCTGAGACATGTAAGACCTGAGGCGGTTTTCGAGGGAGGCTTGCTCTCCAAATGTCCATCCAGGTGTCCACGTGCCTCGTGGTCAGCATCGAGTGTAATCCCCACTCGGTCACGCAGGAGCTGTGCAATATAATACCTCATCTTCACGTGTCGCAAACCCTTAAACATATGTCGCACTTATGTCGCATGCTCACATGTCGCTGACATGGTGCAGGTGGCAAGAGATGAAGAAGCCTCCCCAGGCTGCAGGTGCCCAGAGAGGCGATGGTTGAAGTAAGTTGTATGCGATGCCAAAGAGCGAGGCTGTCACTGACAAGCTCCGCAGCTGCAGCATGTCTTTCTGCCGGCCGAGCCGAAAAGAAAAGTAATTTGCTCCGTTCGTGGCGTCCGATCGCTCCTAGTAAGGCCAGGAGCCCCTAGTAGCGTCCTTGCTCCTAGTAGCGATGCCAGGAGCTCCTAGTAGCTTCTTGTTCCTAGTAGTTTAAAATACTCTTTGAACAAGAAGGCTCTCCTTTGCAAACTTCCAAACAACATGGCCTGATCTTGGGCTGAGTGTACATCAGACACGGACGATACCCCTTGCGTCCCTCTTCACGCGGCAAATGTGTTTATCGAGATCAAATGCATGTAGAATGCAGCAACTCTCGTGTGAACCCACTAAGGAACCCTGATGTGCTTCGCAACAATAGGTGTGGTTCGCTTCCAGCCTGGTTGATGGCCAGCAATACAATGCAGTTGCCTGTAAAACTGGCAAAGAACAAACAAATGCAACTCAAATCAAATCAAACATCTTCAGCCACGAAAACCGCAAGTACTTGAAGTACTGCAAGTGCTCACCGACCGAGTCGCCAATATGTACAAAGTAGTGACACTTGGTGGACCAGCGTTCCTTGAAGCACGAGAGTGCGTGAAGGAAGCCGCCACCTGAGGCCGACGAAAACGAGCCAACTTGCGACAGTGAGCGCAACTTCACCGTCACCATTCCAAGTAGCGGTACGAAGGAGGTACAAACATTTCAGGGTCGAATCCTTTCATTTCCATGGGCCGAACAAATTGGTTCCATAGTGCCCTTTCACAGTGAAGTCAAAGCAGAAGCAAAGCCCTGCCAGCTGAACCACATTGTCCGTTTGACACTTCGTCATTTCTAGGGACTTGGTGTAAGGGCTCGAGATTGCCGATCAATCGATCGGAGCCACTCGCGGCCCCAGACCTAACACAGGTCGCGCGTTTCCTTGCGGTCCGCCATTGCGTTGGCTAGGAGACCTCCACCTAGTCCTTCGTGGCATCGCAGGTTGAGAGCAAGACGAGCGAAGGCTCGGCTGGATCTCCAGAAGCATAGGTGCAAGAGCTGGTTGAGCAGAAAACTGCTCTTACGTGTCCTACGGGCTGGACGCCTTTTGGCCTCGCACCATACGAAGCCAATCTACCGTGTCAAGTGCCTGGATAGGATGTCATGGAAGAACCAGCAGAAGTGGAATCAACGTGCAGAAAGCTGGAAGCAATCATGGCCAGAAGCACGAGAAAAGAGCTCAGCAAAGCAAGAGGTCAAGCCAAAGGAGAAGGATCGTTCCAAGCAGGTCATCTACAGCCACGATGGGCGTCGCCTAGAGCTAAAGTTGCCTGGATCTGGATCATCCTCATCTACTTCAGCTGGGGCTCAGGCCGACTTGCAGAGCGAGAACAAGAAGTTGAAGGATGCGGTGCGCTTCTTAGCGAAGAGGGATGCAGAAGGATCAGGTGGAGAAGAGGTGCCGGAAGACATCAAGCGCTTGGTGAACTCCAATCCACGAGAAGAACTACGAGAGCAGCAGAAAGAATTGAACAAGATGAAGAAGTCCCTCGGGAGACTGGAGAAAGTCAAGTCGCAGATCAGTACCCAGCAGGACAGCTTTACGAGCTGGAAGGCTGCAATGATGGACATGATCAACGACGAGGAGAAGCGACACCAGAGCGAGATCAAGGAGCTCAAAGACGAGGTGGCGACCTTGGAGGAGAAAGATGGTCGCATGGACCTCGAATTTGGTGGCTTCCCCAAGGAGCAACGAGAGGTAATGACTCAAGAGCTGCAACAGTTCCGAGCGGAGATGACATCTTATGTTATGAGTCTCGAACAGCGGAATATGGATATGGCACAGCAGATGCAATTCCTGATACAGGCCGTGAAAGATGTGAAGCATACAGAGGTCTTGAAAGAGTCTCCGCAAACGGTTCATGCACCCAAGATTCATTTGCCAGAGAAGACACCGGACAGAACCTACAGGGAAGATCGTTCACGATCACCTTGCAAACGAAATGCCGAGAGTACGGTCGAAGAGATCGAGAACAAGACCGAGATCATGAAGGCACTCTACAAGATTCCAGTGGAGTACCACCAGACGATTACCGCCATTATGGAGGCCGAGCCAGAGAAGTACCAGACTCCTGCAAGTGTAGACTTGCTCTGTCAGCAAATGCTGGAGCAGGTGAACAATGGTGGAGGAAGGAATGGTGCGATGACTGGTGGTGCGAAGAAGGGCAAAGGCAAGACTACGGCAAAAGGGCCGCTGCAGCCCTTCTGGAGTTCCCACGAGTTGACCAAGCCCTTGCGAGAAGGGACATCTGGGGCAGAAGGGACCCCGAGGGAGGCCAGTCAGCATTCCGATGCATCGAGTGGCCTTTTCCACAAGATGGACGGCTAGGGGTGGCAGACGATGAGTATCCATTGGTGTGGTTCACTAGTGGGCTTGGGGTGTCGATGTCATCCTTTTTTCTGCAGTGCGCTCAATTTCAAAGCAGCACGCGTGAACTACCATATGAGCAGTTGCTTTCCGGGTGCTGTGTAGCGACTTTGAATCTACACACAAGTTGCTGTTCTGCTGGCAGACTACTCTATGAGGGGGGATTTCAAGAGGGCCCCCAACTCCTTTCATCTTTGCGTACGGATGATTTGTTTGAGACCTCCCATGAAGACGGTTCATCTATGCAAATGGTTGGCTGTATTTTCCTACTTCAATGGGGTCTTCGAAGCATTTCTTTCCTGCCTGTGCAAATCTTGGTGCTGATTTGGGCTCTGTCGATTGCTTGGGGAGTCACTCAAGGAGACCAAATCATTTGTGCTTGGAAGTGTATCTTTCGAGGAGGCCGGATCAATTGCTGTCCTACGTTACAGCTGCTATGGCCTTTCTTGTTTTCGCAGCTTCTTGGATTGCTCTGTGGAGGGGCTTTGCTGGAGTTTGCAAATGTGGAGATTGATGAGAAGGTATCTGGAGGGCTGCCATTGGCTGTCTCTATTGTGCGACTTCATGGTGCTTTCCTTTCTCTCTGCATCTTGGGTTTACTCTACCGAGGACGACTTGAGGAGGCACTCTACATGCCTGCGATGTGTCGATGGTGTGAGGGTCGTAGAGCTCTCAAGTATAGGAGAAGAAAGCCACGGATCAAATGGGCTGGGATCTTTCTTTTGCTCAACCTAGGTTGCAGTGAAGCCTCTGCTATCAAAGAAAAGGTGACCATTGGATACCATACCTTTGGCCAGAGAGAGGCCTTCCGTTCTTCCTTTGCCTCAGATGAAGGAGAACACCATTGCAGCAGTGATTGCCGTGGCCAAGTAGGAGAGAGCAAGTGCATGATTGTGCATAGTGATGCGATTAAGCTAGGTGTGAATTTCTCTCCTGCAATACTAAGCCGAGAGTGGAAGAGTGAGGGGAACTCGACTTCCACTTGCCGCCACATAGGATTCGGATTTCTGTGTGGATCGAATGAAGCTTGTCCTTCCCCTTGGCCTTGTGGGAATGATGAGATGCAGTGTCGAATAGGTTCCGACAACGAAGGCCTTTCCCGAGATTCCTGTGTTTCTGCTTCGTTTTGTCCTCAGGTCTTCTTGACAAGCGAGAAAGAATTGAGATTTTGTGAAGTAGAGCATGGGTCTTCTTGTGCACGGGGGGTTCTTTCGACTCCTTGTGCTGTGCGTGCCGTTAACCCACATTTTGCTGATTCTTTCGTTGATTCAGATAGTGGGAATTCTAGTAAGAAACAAAGAGAAGAAGAGGCTTTGGACCTTGCTGTTGACTGGTCCCCTGATGAAGCTTTTTTGATGCAGGTGAGTCCACCGATTGAGGATTTGGTGGCACAATACATTAGGACCCACGCTCTGAATTTCCGTGATACCCAGCTTCTTGTCTGGTATCACCCCGCTGAAGCAATACGGCGCCTGCAAGCCAACCACCGCTATGTTGTGTATAACCATGAGTTGCCAGCGGGTGCACAGGCGAGAGCCAGTTGGGCGAACATGCTTGGACGAAGGCCATGCTATGTGCATCCTGTTCGACCGGTCCCGCCTCACTTACCATATGATTTGCCGCAAGTCATCGTGACCCCTGTCAGGCATGAGCATTTGATACCTGTGCTAGTTGATTATCGCTCAAGCCTAACCAGTCTAAGGGGGACTTTTCTTCTTGGGACCAGGGGAACGCCCTCTGTTTACATGGCATTTGCTCAGATATATCCTGCAAATCAGTGTGTCTGGGTCAATGACTGTTTCATCATACTGCAGAGGAACGCTGGACCGGAACATTACCAATGGGGTCAGACTTTCCCGGTCTTCGAGGGTCTCTACTTCATTATGATCGAGCAATCGCCTGACTCAAGTACGGGCTCTTCGACAGATGGAGGCTCAGACGAGGGGCGAGACAGTGAAGTGGTTAGTGATTCAGATGAGTCTTATGGTTCGTGTTCTGCTCATGATAGTGATGACAACTATGAACGTACTGTAGGAATGGCTCTAATGCAGACTTCCTGGGAATTGCAATTTGCATCAGAAGAAGCGTCTTTTCGTGAGGTTTTAGGTCTCCAAGCTCCTGATGCACAGGGGCCAACAACTTGGCAGCCTCCCTTAGGGATAGTGCCTGTTGATGGCAAGCCCGAACAGTCTGACCGTCTTGAATTGATGTTGGAAACACTTGGGCTAGTGGAGAGAGGGCAGACTCTGGCAGCGACCACCTGGATGACAGAGCGGTATGTTGCTGTTGTCCCTAGACTTTGTGTCTATCAGCCAAAGAGAAGCATGTCTAAGAGCTTCATGATAGGCTGGAAGGACTTTGAGGAGTATGCCCCATTCTGGGTTGCTTTGGTATCACCCACCCCACAACCACTCACTTTTCAAAGACAGCCTTTGCATCTCGCTAGTCTCACACGAGAGCAGAAAGAGAAACATCAAAGGCTCTTTCTTGTCGACATTGTCTTCAAAGGTCTGCCTCGGAGAGCGGGAGTCCTGGCTGACACCGGGGACACAGTACGACAGATTGTGATCAAGTTCCAGTTAGCGCATCTCTGCTCTTTGGAAAAGTACCAATGCGTCCTCAGGCAGGGACGAGAGGGCATTGTAAGAACATGGAACTATTTTGATGTTGTCGAGGAGCCACACGGATCCAGCTTCATGCTGCTATTTGAGGATCGCAAACCAGAAAGATGTGAATGCACAGAAGTTGAATCTGATGAAGGTCAGCTGATGCAAACGTTCGCATACCCAAGACGTTCGCCATTGCAGACCTATCTTCAAGAATTCACTCGTGAGTATGTCCGGGTCTCTGTTTGGGTGCATCATAGTGGTGCTGAAATTGTTCAGACTCAGACTGCTGAATGTGCAGTTGATGTGCGCCGGGATGTGGAATTGCAATGTGAAGAGCTATGGGTTGGAAAAGGGATGCCTCGTTTCAGTAGGATCACTGAAGTCAGCCCTCCGCCCATTCTAATTGCGATACCTAGGCCGCATATCATTGTCTCACGAGCCTTCGATCCTGATGATCTACCGTTGCTTTGCCAAGCTAATGTTGACGGAAGAACTAGCCTGATGACGGTTGTAGCTAGAAGTCAGCATTTGTCGTTCCAAGTTGCAGGGCTTTTCGATCTAGTGATTCCGCAGCATGATTGTGAGTATAGGTCGGAAT